TCCTTTTACTTTTTTTTCTTCTCTTTGATTTTGACAGAGCTTATTTAATCTCCTCGCGATTTCCCTGCGTTTAATTACTTGTATCGCGGACTAATAATAATCGGACGAAAGAATAATAAGAGGCGGGACGAGAAAGTAAAAAGGCGGTATTCGTCTTGCACTTGCTTTCTTTAATTTGGTGTTTTATTTTTGTAGTGGTAATTGGAAAGAAATATCTTTTTGGGGATATCTGTCGTTTGCTTTCGTTAAAAAAAATGATGGCAGTAAGAATACTGATAAATACTTCAGCCGATATGGGTGCGAGTTATTATTTCCAGACGTTTCCTGTGTCTGTAGTTTTGGTTTTCTTAAGTGTATCTGTTTTGCTCACACAACGCACCCTGTTCTAATTTGAAAAATTCCGCTCACTTTGAGTCAGTATAGTAGGCTCCGAGTAAGTGTAGACGCGTGGGTTTGTTGTATCGGAAGAGATAATGCTGAGGGTCCCTCTACCAGCTCTCGATACGATATATGTTATGTTCAGGTCCTAATATTTGATCTCTTTCACCTAGCTGTAGCAGCTTGAGAGAGAACAGACGGGTGAGAGAGTTCCCCTACTTTCCGTGCTTGCTCCAATTTATGACACTTATCCTTTCCTTAAGACGCTGTTCTCTCTCCCCTCTGGTCTCTGCTGTTTCCTGTTTTTGACCGACTCGTCGAGTCTTTGCGTTATGAGTCACTGATTTTTCTCCCTGTTCTCGAATTCTTTTATCACGTGAGTCGTTTTCCCAACAAAAATTCTACGAATCCAATGCGTTTTAAGTCTATTTTATTGCGTGATTTATGTTTTGCGTTTAAGAACAAACACTAAAAGGGGGAGTGGACGAAATAACAAATTTATTTAAATAATATATAAATAATATATGTATCAAGAATAAAAGAATAAGAACCCAACGCCCTTATCTCTACCTAATTAGTGCCTCTCCTATTTTGCCTTGGGAGTGAGGGATAAAATTAATTTTATTAAATATGTACTCACGTGCTAGTCGATATGCACATGAATAGAAATAAGGTTTTGGAGACCATTTCCCTCGTCTCTTGTCCCCTTGATTTTGTGATTATCGGCGATTGGTACCCTAATCTTGTTAGCTTCCGGGCTGCTGTAACCGCTGCTTGTAAACTGGTACTCTTGTCTCTGGTTGGATCCTCGGCTTTTTGATTTTAAATCGTTGCGTTTAACCTTATTAAGCACAAAAATTGAACATCAGCCAATTCCTTGAACAATAAACTTACTACATTCCCAAAATATATTGATCAATCGCTTACTTAATAGATACCAGAAAATAAAGTTTTGGATACAAGTAAGCATAAGTTAGTTTGCTTTATAAACGCCTTATCTAAAATAGTCCTTTAAAGCTAGATGTTACTAAAAAAAAAACCAGAAAATCGACAAATTCAGATAGAAGTATTGACTGCCATAGCTACAGAACTTATTTTATTAAGACTGTCAGATGTTGATATTTACTTTCTCATTAATATCAAAATCTCACAATCTCAATTGAACCTCATCGAGCTCAATGTAAGGCACCCTATTTCTTTGACAATAATAAGAATTTGTTTCAATGAAACCGCATCAGTGATCAAAAGTATCATACTAATGTATAAAGCAAAGTCGCAAAAACCGTTGTAATTGCTAACCGCGAAAACTACTCGACCAATCTTGCTGAAATATTGTATACTAATGCTTGACACTTTCTAGATGGTTTTAGTATAGTTTTTATCTTGAAAAAATTAATAACAATAGCAATAAATAAGCTTAAAGTTTTGCAAAAATACGCTAGCTTTTCACTTTGGTTTAGTAGGATCCGCTAGGTGGCGTAGAAGTAAAATCGAAGCTACCTGCAATAGAATTAAGTAAGTCTGGTTATAATATCTCCAAGCAAATTGACGAATATAAAAGTCCTTCACCGGCCGTGAAGCATAGAGTTAGGAGTTTTGCAGCTTGATATCCCGGCTACTAACGACTCTTTAATGAATAGGCCACTCACGTTAAACTCCATCCCAAACCACCACGATTAACGAGTGCCACCAATAAAAAGGCTTCCCGATCGCTAACGTCTCCAGCGTAATACTAAGAGATGTCTAGCTAGATCACAATCTTCTCTATTAATTTCGGGTCTCATGGCGGTTCTTCCAACTAACCTGGTGCCACCAGAGCAGATTTTGCTACAACAGCAAGCCAGAGAAAACAACTTTTGAGGAGTTTGGGCAGCCACAACGACGTCCTTCTCAGTAGTTTTACCCAATAGCATACCCACAGAGAAAGTATTCTCCAGGTCCACTTTCCCGACTAACTAAGTGGTTGGTCATCCGGAGAATGACCCGGAAACGAAAAATCAGAGACTTAAAAGGTAAGAGTCAAGCTACCCACAGTCGGCTCCCCATCATCAAGAATAATAATAAGGAATGGCTGGAAGTATCATTTCAGGGCCATTATAAGTATTAACGTTCCCTAATTAAATAAACTTAAGCAAACAGGACAGTCTTCAACGGACAAGCACCACAAACCAATCTCCCCACCTTGAATCACCAAAACTGAATCTGCAAAAAAAAAGTGCTTTAGACAACAACGTCTTCGGCGTAATACCAGAAGACGTTGGAAAAGAGCTCTGCAACTAGCTCCAAAGCTTCGAACGTTGTATTATTCCTCCCGATCAGTGTGGTGCTACAACAGCAGCCTAAAGTAGATCACCCTAAGGTATCCAGACAGTTACGTTTGCTATAAACGTTAGTCAAGAAAGAGCTTAGCTTACCGGTCATTTTTAGGGCCATCGGACATCAAACTATTTTGCCAACGAATATATTACAATTTAACAAAATTAACAAAAACAGCCTTTAGGGGTCACAAAAGTCTTAACCATTTCTATATGTAGTCACAAGAGGGAAAACTCCAAATGCTCTAAATGTATACAATTTTAGGTATCAAAAAACTGACGCAAAACATTTATCGATATTTAAACAGCAGCGTCAAAATCAACGAATAACGACTAAATTAAGTTGAGAGATGAGCTTTTAATTGTAACCCTGCCATTGATTACTTAAATCTTCTAGCTATTCAAGTAGATGGAATGATACGTATTTGTATCCATTGTGGTGAGAGATGAGGCTCCAAAACTTTGTTGCTGTGGTGTTGAAGTGTTGTGAGTAAAAAAAATTTTCTCGTTACTCATTGTTGGTCAGTTAAAATACAGCCTTTTAATTTATTATAATGTGAGACAGTGCAAATTACTGACCTTTTAGGGCCAACAACCATTTTATGGCATAAGAAACGCAAGGTACTTTTTAGCATTCTTAAATTTTTTTATTTTTTGCAGCTTATTATTTGACCAAATTAACTGCATGGATTTTGAACAGAAATGTTTTTAATAAGAAAATTTTTGGTCTAAGAAGTGTTAGGAATATTATTAGCGTGATATTATTAGCGTTTTCATTATACATACGTTTTATCATCATTCTCATCACAGTCTTTTGATGGTTCTGATTCATCGATGTCACTTTCACTATTGTTGTAAATATAGTTTATTTCTGTATTGCATAAATAGGTATTGTTCAATAAAAATTTTTCTACAGTAAGTTAATATCTTTAAACGTAGTACAAAACAGCTTGTATACATGAATATCCGAGTGTTTAATAGTATCAAAATAACACTGCAAATATGCACAGTTATAATAAGTGTCTTTCACTTTTTCATAGTTAATTTGTTCTTTACTTTTAAAAACTAATGAGATTGTAGCCACATTTGTAACAAACACAGAATCGATTTTTAAAGCTGTTGAAAAAGCTTTACGAAAACTACAACAGCGTCTTGTAATATTCTCATTACAACATAGCCTCGCAAGATTTGATCGACTTTAACCTCAAAACTATCTTGTACTACAGTATTTTATTTAATGAATACATGTGTCATATAGTTTTAGTCTAATACGATTACTTGTTGCTAAAAATAATATTAATAATAATTATTATTATCATTATTATAGTAATATATATATATATTCGTGCGCGCGCGCGCGCATGTGTGTGTGTTTGTGTGTATGTACCTTCTTTGCATCCATATGAAATGAATGTATATTGGTGTTTAATATAAAAAATAAGATGCCGTTTTGCCTCTGCTGCTGGCTTCGTGGATTGATTGACTGTTTCTCTGTCTGTTAGACATCGTGAGCGGGAGTTGTGTCAAATTTCTGCCCCGTTGTCTAAGTCTGCAGCTTAGACACCAGGTCACAAATAAGGCAAATACACCGGGCTGTTCCGAGTCAGGTTTTTCCTCCAGGAGATTTTCCGGGATTCTCCTAATCTACATGACAATCGTCATGGGCGAATGCGAAGCAATTGTTAGGGCTGGTGTACCATGAATCGAATGGCACGGTCGATAGTGTTATTTTAAAATTGTCGTATATACTTAGTAGTAGTTTTTAAAAATATTTTTAGCGATCCCATTATCTTGTTGTTCTTCTACTTATAATTTTTCCGTATTCATCAGCAAATTTACGTAATAAAATGATTTCTTTCAAAAGTTGTTCAAAAAATGAATTGAGAAATGAAGTAACTTCCCCGCAATGCTTTTTGACTTTTTTTTAAAAGTATTTACAGTAAATATTGTTCAGAAATCAGATGATAAGGTGTATTTAGATGATTAACAGTGATTAAAAATCACGATTTCGTGTAACGATCGAAATAAAAACCAAATTTTATATATATATATATAGCTGATAAGTTGAAATACAATCTTGATGTATAATTACAAAAATTCATTTAGCTTGTTTTTTTTAAACACAAGCCATGCAAGCTAAGTTATACGGAGTCAAGTATTTATAACTGTAAGGGTTGTCTGTTACAAATTTATTATTTGTCATCATGATTTCAAATAAAATCTTATGACTCTTCAATCAGACATTGAATAATATTTTTAGATTATACCTAAAATTTTCAAGAAATAAACATTAAAACTTTCTTTTAGTGTGGTGCTCATAACTTTAAGAGAAGAGAAACTTGTTTCAAATGCTCGGCTTCCCGTGCTGAAAGTGAGGAGGGTGGTGAGGGCAGCGATGAGATCAGTACGCATCCAACAAGTATGGTACTATTGCGTGGCCTTGATGTACTAAGTACTGAAGACTCAGTTCTTCAAGCAATGAAAAGCTTTTCATCACAACCAATCCGCAGCATACGCATAGGGAGAGATAGTTTAACCAATACTTCAAGAGGAGTCTGCTATTTGGAGATGGCTAACGTTGTTGATGCAATGTATCTTCATACAGCACTGACACAGCAAGGCCTTAAAGTTGATGGACGAAAGGCTGATATTGCGTATTGTAAATTACAGCAACTGTCAAACGTTGGTTCTTGGAAGGCTTTAGATACTGCATTGGCTAGCCAACGCTATAATCTTGAAGATGTATCTCAGTTAGCTGAGTACAGTGCTAGTCTTTATGCAAATACTCCAGCACAAAAGGCTCACTATTTGGAGTACTACACGCAATACTACCAAAGTCAAATTATTCAAGGCAGTGCAATTACACTACCTACCCTTAACCAGACTGATAGGGTCAATGCAGCTGCAGCAGTGGCTCAGTCGGCAATTCAACAACTACATGCTTCACGTAAACTAAGCGATGTTGAAGACATAAAGGTCCGACCTGTGCCTACAGCTCCAACCAGCACAGTTCTTGCTACTGGTAGAGTTCCGGCTCATTCCAGTGATGGAAAAATTTATTGTAAGTAGATAAGCTTAATTTTAACATAATTCTTGTTGACTTTCGCTTTTAACATTCATTTATACTAAATTGTTTCTTACCTAGTTGAATTTAATCTGTGCCCTAGTGAATAACTGGCTACTTTAATACTAATATGATACACGTTGATGCTCAAAGCTGTTTTTAGTATTACCACTCGAAAGTGGTTCTTCATCCACTTACCATTAACTTATACAACATCATACTATAACTCCTTGAAAATTTCATTGATAAACTCGCAGATAAATTTTGCTTCTTTTAATGCGTTAAGTGTGAGCTATTAACCCGGAAAATTAAATGTTTTGTTGGCGATTAAGTAAATATCTTCTGAAATAAGAGAGCACAATTCAAATTATATATTTATGTAGTGATAAGGAAGCTTTCTTCTCTTACTTTTTTGTTCCTACCCCTTTTTTAATTTTGGATTGTATGTTATGAAAATAACGCCAAAGATTTGTATACATAAAATCTGGTATTAAAAAGCTTTTATCACAGCATTGTCTTAAAATTTTAGAGTAAACTAGGAGTCACAGCTGCGTTTAAAAACTATTTTTTAAGATATAAATTCAATAAAATACTCCGAATGACTTGGTGTAAATTTATCTGATTCTAAAAATTACATCCAGCATTATTGATCACAATAAAAAGTGAAATTGAAAAAAATGAATGTAATGATTTATAAAACAAGTTTTAATTTAAATGATCCAAAAACTTATTTTTTACAGAATAATAGAGATAAAGTTAAATAAAATAACACTCAAGAGAGCATGCTAATACATGAACAATATAAAAATCAAGCAATTTCCGTTATTAAATTCGTATCACTAATTTTTTCAAAGACAACTTGAGAAATAGGATTCATTTACCGGAATTTGATTTTTCAAAAAAATTTTCTGAGTTCTAATTTTTAGTTAAAATGAAATGATTAACAGAACTGATTTCAGTTATACAATTATTTAATTCATAACATGAATTTTTTTTTCAACTTTACTATACTTGGTATAGTACGTCCTACTGCTTCATAAACCATATTTTAAATGCTTATTGTGAGTGCTTCAGACCACTGATAAACAAAAAATCTCTTTTTTTCTTCATCCACCATAAAAACAACACTTTGTGCAAAATCAAATACAAATAGAGTTTCTTGTATGACCCTGTCGTATTCTTATAAACATTTTTTTAAATGGTTCTGTATTTTTAGTATAACTCCCATTTATTTTTAAGTTTACGAAAATATTATCATTTTTTTATTTATGTTATCTACGATTTCTATTAATAACTGAGCTCATTATTACTAAGGACTTTCTATTATTTACCTTTTATTACTAAGGACTTTATGTCCTGTGATGCGTGCGCTTATTATATTTATATCATACATTTAGTTTTATAGACCGAATCTCTCGTTATAACCTAGTATATATACATATTTTGTACATATTTTTTTGTACTAATAAAATAATCTGAATAATTTAAATTTACTTAAATTATCGATTATTTTAAATTATAATGAAAAGAATACTATCAATTTATATGACTAAAGAAATAATTTCTTGTCAACTGATTTAAAGTTAGTTGAATATTATTTAGTAATTTTTGTTCACTAGTTTTTTCTGTCCAATTTTTATAACCCTTTCTATAATTATTTATTTTTTAGTTGTTTATTATGAAAATGTATTCATAATGTCCGAAAGAAAGAGTTAAAATAGTGATTCTAAAACGAAACAAAAATTTATTTACATCCTCAGAATTGTTGAAATTAAGATATTATAATTAAGATAAATCTGCAGAGGTACATATCTTTTGGTTTCTCCATACTTTTATTTTTTAATAATACTTATTTCTTTCATTTTTAGAGCCAAACAAAGACAGCAATGCAACAAACTATTAGTTTCAGAATGTTGTTCTGTTATTGTTTCGAATTCAGGAATATTTAAAAATTTTAATTCATGCATTCACCCAAAAAATTTACTAGAGAACGTACACAAATGTATTTAAATTAACTTTTTACTTCAGAGATCCGACAATATTTTCATTAATATTTCCTTCCGGGGACTTAGGATAGAGTAAACTTTATAGCAAACATCCAAAAAACGATTCTGAAAAACTTTCTGTTTTGCAGTATTCTTTATACAGACTACCATAGAGACCTAATTTAAAACATTTTAATCCCTCACTCCATGGCTAAAGACGGACTCAGCAATTTTTCACATGCATACATCATGATGGAAAGTATTAAAGTGAGTTTCTTTTAAAACCTTATAAAGAATTTGAAAATAGAGTACTATGAACGATTATTAGATCACGTTATTAATAGTGCTTCAAATAGTATTTCAAAAAATTTTGTAACGGAAAAAATTAAACATCTTTTTATTATACTATTAACTCATATAGGTGGGTACAGATACATGCAACAAAACTACCAAGACGCAATGGATATGGCGAGAAAATTCGGTAAACCCGATCCATTCGTAACAGGAACATAGAATCCAAAATGAAAACAGTTAAAACAAGTCTTAAAAAAATTTCTAAATGATACAACTCCCAATGATATTTCATATATAACAGTCAAAGTATTTAGAACCAAATTACGATGTATTTTAGATGACATAAATAAAAAAGGTATTTTTAGTAAAAATATTCCGTACGTTTTTACGATAAAATTCAGAAGAGAGTATTACCTTATGCACACATTCTTGTTACAATACATTCAAATATTAAATTTATTACACCTGAACACGTAGATGTATATACTAAGAGGGGCTTCGTCCCTCTGCGCACTTCGCTTTCCAACCCCCCGGTATTTTATCTCAAAATAAGAGTTGTGTGATTTAATATAACTACTTTATTTTTATTCTTAAATTATGAGTCATGTGATTTCATACTTTGAAAAGTAATGTATATTGCATATAAATATTTCGTATTACAATATACGATTTAAATCATTATATTTATTGCGTAAGATGAGATAATATTGGGTAATATCTATGTGTTGATCCTCATACTCGATTTATTGTGAATCTGATACACTATGCATGGATCTGAAATAGATCCTATACTGATGATTTTTTTATTCAGAATAGTATAAGGCAAATATACAGATGCTTTACTTAAATATTAAATTCAACTTTTTCAATGTACATGGAATACTGTAGAGAAACACACACGTAAAAATTTTAATGCACAGTAATTAGGTCATCCATCCTTACTGTGATTCACTAAAACAATGAGTTTCGGCTCTATGGCAATTCAAAACACTTCTTTCTCGCGCTTTTGAATGAATCGTTATTAATGAAAAGGTGCTCATTTATTACTAATTTAAGGCTTTTATCTTATGCACAAATAATTATACATCCACAAAATTACACAATCTCGCCAAAGATACTTCCAAATATCTTACGCCACAGATACTTTTATCTAGCATATTGTGTTCATCATTTTTTGCAATTACCCAAATGGAAACAACTTCAGTCATTAAGTATGATTGTAATCCATTTTGGGTTCATAGTATTTGTAAGAATTAGAGTGCAATCACACGGAGCACGCAATCCACAATACGGAACCACTTAAGCCCATGAGAGTAAAAGATACGGAAGTATCGTGAAAAAGACCTATGGGCTTGAATTGTTCCGTGTTGCGAATTGCGTGCTCCATATGACCACAGCCTTAGTAAGCATTGTTTTTAAAACTTTTTTATTTATTTTTTTTGTTTTTTTAAAAAAATGATCGCTTATAAATTAAATGTACCAACAACATCGAAGCATTTAGTTTAAAAACTTACTTGGAAAATGATTACATGTCTGATCCGGACTGGATTCATCCATCATGCTTCACATGGACATAGTTGCGACACTCCGTGGTAAAAAGTGTCCGCTAGGTGCCATGTTCCTGAGAGTATAGCCCGAAAATTTTTAAAAGTAATGAATTTAAGTTTTATAAATTTAGTACTGATTCACAAAGAAACCTTGTCATTAAATGCTTCGTTGGTGGTTAAGGTATTAAAAACTCCAAACAAATGTAAAAATATTTAGTAATAAAAAATTTGTATTTAAAAATTTAAAAATAAAGTCAGATGTAAAAATCAGCATGTTTATAATTTGATACTATGAAATAAAATTTTTTTTTTAATTCTAAGAAGTATAGTATAAATTGTAGAAAAATCAGAGCAATATAAATAAAAATATTTGTCTGTTATTAATGATTCAAAATATTGCAACTGGCTGGAGGAGAGAGCTGTTATTAAGGTAGCTCCCTTGCGAAAACCTACGGAATAAAATATGTTTCATTCAATAGATTTTGATCTACTGAATCCAATGGTATCCTTGTTGATACCCCAAGTAAAGCAAAATCTCGAGATATTTCAGCTCAAAGTTGAACTGTTTAACACGAGCTCAAATGGCAGAGCATCGAAATATCAGCTTTAAAGGCATTTCCTAACTCACAAAAAAAACCTGAGCAGACAAATTATGATGTACTTGTAGAAAAATCTCTGTTTTTCTCAATACTGTCATGTAAAATGCTGTTAATGGAGTATTTTCCAAAGATATTTGCCAAGAAAGACATGAAAATCAGCTTCATGGTTATAAATGACAGACGGTAGCAGAATACCAACACTGATGTACGTATATACGTATACATACACAAGTGAAACTCACCTACTTGACTAGAGCAGTAGACAAGGGAGCTACCTGAAGTTTAAATTTGCCATGAACTTTTATGGAAGAATCCTGTTACATTGTTGACGACAGCTGATCGCATCTTTTACTCGAAGAGATGTGATTGTAAACGGAAAGCCTAAATTTGGTAAAATCAAAATAATAAATTGATGAAAACGTAATTTATCTGAAACAAAAATTTTTTTACTAAAAAATAACAGTTTATTAAAACTTTTACTTATAATACAAAGTATTATAAATAATCAGAGTTGTTTCTTGCTTACATAATAATAAAATTTTTTTTTTAATTCTAAGAAGTATAGTATAAAT